TGGCAGTCACAATGACCAAGGCCCTAGCTTCAATGGCATACCCCCCCGCACCGGCAAGCTTGAGGCCTTCCACCATCTTGACAGCACAGGGTAACCTGCATCCACTTACACAGACAGACACACCGAAGAAAGCTGAAATGTTTCAATTCCTCAATACCACAGTTCCAATACCTCCTCTCCTGAGGTTTACTGTTCACTGCCTTCAAAACTCATGCTATTCCTCCACCCAGCCCCCACACAGACCTTCCACCTCACCTGATTACCCAATTCCATTTTCAGCTCATCAGCCTCTGAGGCTGGCCTACTTTTCAAGGACACAAAAGCTGAAAAACTTATGCATTATACAAACAATAGAATAACTAGGATAACAGGACATAGGGGGAACCATGGTGTGTACCAAGGAGGCAAAGATACCTGAGGAAACAGCCATGGGACAAAGTTTGCAGGGCATGCAGAGGGCAATGGTGAGGAGAGCAGTTAGATACTGAGTGCAACAGGGCAGGACTTGGCTACTAACACGTTAGAAAACTGAGCTGAAGACCAAGAGGTACCTAGCAAGATCACTTTCCCCAGTGATCAGGGCTCATTTTGCTCCCTGTGGTCAGCAGGGTGCTTCTGAAGCCCTGTCCTGTCTTAACTGTGAGAAACCTCAAGCAATGGGAGGACTTATGGCCACTGGAGGGCCACACTGGTGGACCACATGTAATTAATTATACCAACATTTGTAGGAGAGAAGAAAAAGGCCCTTCTGAACTCACTCTGAATAATTAAGGTACTGCTTCATGGGGAAATTATCAGAAATACAATTTTCAGGGAAGTGAAAGGCCAAGGGTTACTCCTCTAGGATTTTTCTGAACTTCCAGCTCCATCAATACCTTGACCTGGAAAGCCACCCATCTTTGCCAAGAAAAGGGAATGTTTCCCAAACACACCCACTATTCCAAACTTCTTCCCAGGCGTAAGAAGCACTGTTCTGGACAGCTGGGCCTTCGGCCCATTGTTTCCATGTTTCCTGCAAGGCACAGAGAAAAAAAACCACTGCAAACCATGGCTCACCTGCCTCAGTTGCTCTTTCTAGAAATGAGTCAAGCCTACTCCCATAGGGCCAGTTAGCCACAGGAACCAGGACACAAGCCCAGCTACTCTGCTTCTGTGGGGTGTGAACATGAGAGGCTGAAAGCAATCAGAGAGAACCACTCAGTCATGGAGGCAAGTGGGTAAAGATGAGTAAACGTGGCCTTCCGGATCCTGCGGAAGAGCTGAGCCAGCTGGTACAGTAAGGGCAGTGAAGAGGGAGAAGCTGCAGGGAAAGGGAAGACAACTGTGAGTGCTCCCTCCCACTCCCCTCCTCATTGCCCCATGGAGGCTTTAAAGCACAAGTTCGTATTTCATGGTATTTACATTCTCCTCAATAACAAGGAATTTCACTTCCTCTGGGGTATGTGTTCTCCACTTAAACTGAAGAGACCTTAAGGTTGCTTAAAAAAGGTCCAGATTTATTACATTTTAACCTAACTTTCCAGTATACAAAACCTAGTAATAGTAGCTGCCTCTGGGGAGAAGAATTTGGAAACACTTTTCACATTTTGTACCTTGCTGAACCTTTTAAATGTACAGCCATATGACAGCATTACCTATTTTTACCCTACATTAATTTTATTAAAAATAAAGCAAAATCTACCAAGTTTATTTGTTTTCCTTGTTTGAATTACTGATTTTTTTAAAAAAAAAACAGAGAATATATATACTTCTTAAAAAATTTAAAAAAAAAAATTTTTGGCAGTATTGGTGTTTAAACTCAGAGCTTTGTGTTTATGCTTTGACACTTAAGCCACCCCTCCACCCCTTTTTGCTTCAGGTTATTATATTTTAGACACAGTCTTACATTATTGCCAAAGGTGGGCCTGGACCGAGATTCTCCTACTTTCAGCCTCCTAGCACAGCTAGGACCACAATCATGCACCCCCGCACTCAGCTTACTGGCTGAGATGTGGTCTTGCTAATGTTTTGCCTGGGATGGTCTCAAGTCGCCATCTCCTAATCACAGTCTCATAAGCAAACATGAGCCTCCATGACCAGCCTCTTCTTATTTTATATTTGCAGTACCAGAGTTTGAATTCAGAGACTCATGATTGCTAGGCAGGCCTTCTACCACTTGAGCCCTGCCCCCAGCTCTGTATTTCTTTCTTAAAGAACTCTACCATTTGAGTTTATTTCTCTCTTAAACAAATAAAAAATGTCCCTGCTAGCTACTTGGGAGGTGGAGAGCAATAGTATCGAGGTTCAAAGCCAACCTGGGCAAAAAGTTAAGACCCTAACTTAACCAATAAAAGCTTGGCGTGGTTAGTAGAAATCAGTCAGCCCAGCACCCAGCAATGTAGGAAGCACCAATAGGAGGATCATGGTCCAGGTCAGCCAGGGCATAAATGTGAAACCTTAGGAAAATAACTAAAGCATAAGGACAGGGTTGTCACTCAAGTTGTAGTGCACCTACCTGCCCAGCAAGTGCTTAAAGTCCCCTGAGTTCAAACTCCTAGTACCAAGGGTAAAAAAAAAGTCCCAGCTACTTGGAGGGCTAAAAAGGGGAAGCTCACATAAGGCCAGAGCTTTGACCCAATATAGTGAGACTCCCCCACCCATTTCAAAAAAAAGGGTGGGGGGAAATTATTCATTTGCTTATTTGGTCATTTATTTATTTATTATTTTGATTGAACCCAGGATTTAGAGCATGATAAGCACATACTCTACCACTGAGCTACATTCTCAGCCCTTAAAAAAATATTTTTTTAGGAAGCTCTTGGTAGTTGGTCCTTGTTACATCATTTCTTCCAAGTTCTCACTGTGGCCCATTCACAGGCTATCCTCTCTCTCGAGCCAAGGCAACTTTTCAGGAAGGTCTGAACAGCCCTGGAAATAGCAACTTTGTGCTGTCACCTCTTAGGAGATCAGAGTTTATGATACCAAAGGACTGAGAGGAATGCTAAGGAATTTCTAAGTTTTTAATCAAGACTCTGGAAAAAAGCAGAAAGTCAAAGGGTGGATAGAAAAGAACACAAACTAGCCTTAGCTTTTTTTTTTTGCAGAGCTGGGGATTAAACCCAGAGTCTTATATGTACTAGACAAGCACACTACCACTGAGCTATACCCCCAGTCCTAGTCTTAGCATTTCTGAAAGCCACCTAGTGACTTTTTTGTACAATAAACAGAGCTGCCTAGAGGGAATTCCTGCTTAGAGTCCAGCAAAGGAGATAATAAGGTCACTCTAAGCTATACAAAAGAATTTTTTCAAAGAGAGCTGAATACATATAAAAGGAAAGTAGGGAAAATAAGGAAGATTTAAAGATTTAGTCAAAAAGCGACAACTTTAAAAACAGACAAACTGTGTAACCTGGGGCTAGTCATTATACCTCTCTGGTTGCTAGGTTTTTTTGACCAAAAATGAAAGAAAAAGAAAGAACTAAAGTAGAGTTTCTGGTTTTCCTTTCAGTTTTGAAAGCTATGTAATTCTCTTCTAAGTCTGCATTCACGAGAAAATAAAGGAGAATTAGATTACTCTCACAGAGAGTAACACAAAAAAGATCTAGCCAAGTATGGTGGTACACACCTATAATCCCAGCACTCAAAAGGCTGAGGCAAAAGGATCATGAGTTCAAGGTCAGCCCAGGCTACACAGAATTCCAGACTGGCGTGGGCTAAATTGGACTCCTGTCTCAAAAAATACTAACTTATAAAGAAGTAGTCACCTGAGGCCCAGTGCCGGCATACCTGAGCAATTAATCCTCAGGAAATAACTAGGGCTATTCCCAAGTATCACTTAGGGAACTCATTTCTACTTCACAGTGAAGCAGAAAACAGAATTGTCATCAATATGTTCAACCTTTACATCAATGATGAAAGTTTCTGTAAATTGTAATATTATTTAGCTATTTTAAATCATGACTGAAGGTATATTTGACACATAAAACTGCGTATCATATCTGTAGCCATAAAGGAAAAACTTCAAATTTCTGTTTTCTTTTTATGTTCTCTACTTTCATTTACAACTTCATGTTTTGAATTAACAATTAGGTATTAACACTTGGACTTAACAGTGTTAAGATTTTTTTTTTTTTTAAACTCCAAGTTCTAGTTAGAGTTCACCCGGGATAAAGCAAGTGCCTAAATGACTCCATCAATGTTCAATCCTTGTTGCTAGGATGTGCCATCCCTAGCACATTCTAATGAGTGCTGACGAACACCTGCTCCCATAGCCCCCCTGCTGTTAAGCCCCTTCCCCAGGAACAATGGAGATTCCACCACTTACCTGGGTCAAACCTCAACATCAAGACGCAGAGGATCAAGGCAGCCAAGAGGCTTTTCCTCAAGGGCAGAGAAAGGAGGTGGCTCACTGCAGAGTCCCAAAGCCGGCGAAGCAACATCAGTAGTGACAGGAATTTATGGGAGAACAACCCTGGTGAGGGCACAGAGCATAATTTCAGGGTAAGTCAGGGGAATCAACTTCCCTGGTTCTGAGTTTTGAGCTGGATTATAAGAGTTGAGCAAAGAGTAATGAAAATAATTTTCTCATGAAGCTCATGAAGTAGTTCAAAAGGAAATTCCAAAAGCTCTAAAAATGGGGCTTTGGGGGAAGGGTTTTTTTTTTTAAGTTTTTTTGTTTGTTTTGTCCTGATAGAACCACCTGAACTTGCCATCAAACCCTTCTTTCCACCTCTCTTCCCCAGGAAATGCAGGGCAGAGAGCCAGAAGCCATAGGTAACAAAAACCTGCTTACAAACAAGGAGTTCTATCTCAGCAGGTTCATGCTCTCAGATGCACAAAGAAAAATACTTTAGAGAACAGAATTATAATCACCTAACTAAGCCAAAAGGCTTTAACGTAAAATTTAAAAAAGAAAAAAGCAGAAATAGGCCTATCATACATAGTACCAAGAAAAAAGAATAGGGATCAATGGGTAAAGACTATCAGGTGAGATAATTAAATTTGTCATAAGAAAAAACTTCCCTACAAACTGTCCAGAGATGGAATGCACTGCTTCAGCAGACAGGGAACTTTCTGCCCTTGAGAGTATTCATATACAGACTCAATGAAAAAGAAAGGACCAAGGAAGGGTCTGAAGTAGAGGGCCTTTAACATCCCTTGAAAACAGGACAATCCCCACACCTACCCCTGTGTAGAGAGCCTTCATATGACACTAGCAAAAAGGCATGTGTAAAGCTGCATGTTAATGCAGGGTAGAGCTCAAAAAAAAAAAAAAAACCTCAAAAGCTCTAGTTAAGTGAAGACAGAAGACTGTGCACAGGGGCCCAAGGATGAAGGCAAGTAATTTATTTCATAAGTCAGGTTACCAAGTTATTGTGTTAAATTCTTTTCTATCTCAGCATATCTCAGCTGTGTCTGTATTGGGGACAGCATTTAAAGGAGGAATGACATCCCATCCACGCCAGCATGGTGGAAGCAAGCAAGAGATCTAGTGAAAGGACCCCAAGGAGAAGATGACTGATCAGACTCTAAAGGGAAGGTGACTTTCAGGAGTTAAGTGCCATGGATGACAGACCTAGTAACAACTCTCCCCTCCCAATATAGAGACTCTCCTTCCATTCCAACTTCAAAGCCAACTGTCTGGCTTGGCTTTGTTAAGTAACTCAACAGGTTTCTATTCTGTGACATAAGAATTATTCATACCAAGTACTCCTCCCAAGCTCTTAGGAAGTCCACAAGACCCCTCTGCAAAGAACACAGAATCAATGTCCTACCTTCCCGGTTCAGCTTCTGGACATCCATGGAGCCTGAATGCTCCTGTTTATGCTGTTGCCTCACTGTATGAACAGCCTGGAGCATTTCTAGTCGCTGCTCCTCACCAAGGGCAGGAGAGCCCACTGCAAACTCCTCGGCCTCGGACAAGCGGCCCAGGGGCAGGAGCACCCGCTGCAGGTAGAGTTCAGCTAAGGCTCCATATTCTGGAAGGCCCTGGTTGTCTGGATCTTGTAGCCAGGCACTGACTACATTCAGCACAGCTCCAGGCTGTTGCATTTTGCTGTATAAAAGAATGCTGTATGTGGAAGATAGATACAAAAGATACATGTATACACAAATACAACCATGATCATATACACATTTATATACAGAACATGTGTGCAATAGTGGGACTGTTCAATGGGACTCAGGTGGGAGGAAAATGTTAAAGTGAACAATATTGAAATATATTGCATCTGTATAGAAAGATGGCATAATGAAACACACTGAAAGCTGTTAAAAGGGGGGGCAATAGGGGTAAGACAAGGGAGAGTAATAAGGGGTTAATCTGACTAAAGTACAGTATATTCACAGGTGAATACCATTGTGCAAACCCTCTGAACAATGAATATGGACTTAAAAATGAAGGACAGGATTGTAAAACAGGTCCTTGTTAGGGAGTGGGTATTAGCGGGTGGGGGGAGGGTGGATGAAGGGATAAAGAAGGGTGAATTTGGTCAATGTATTTCAAATACTTACATGAAATAGAACAATGACATGTATAGTAATCTTTTTAAGTAGGGAAAAAGGGGTGAGGGAGAGAGATGGTGGGGACAAACATAACCAAGGTACATTATAAGTATATTTGGAAATGTCTAAATGAATCCTTCCTGTACAGTATGTGAATATAAATGTTTTTCAAAAATGCTTCATCCCCAAATAATGCAATCCCCCAAAAAAGAGTCAGTGTTCCACGGCTGGTCATTCTCATAAGCACTACGCTGCTTCTTCTTCCAGCCCTTCCCTACAGAATGTTAACACTTAGGAATTCCTAGGATACTTCTAGGTTGATCAGCAACAGGTCAATCGGCTCTACCCACTTGTCAACAAACACACTATCTCATATCCCTTTTTCTTTTCTGCTATTCAACTCCTACAGTCCTCCTTCCTCGTCCTTTATTGCTATGTTCAGAGGTCTGAAAAAAAGGGAAAGAACTGGCTTTGGAGGGACTGGGAAGGGGGAATGAGGTTCTATTTCAGGAGAGGACAGGAAAACACTCTTGCACCTACACTAATCCAATTATCAGCAAAGAACCTACCACAGCTCCAGGACTTTGGGGGGTAGTTTTTCAGGGACCTGGTAATACTGAAGGACCCAGGAGAGGACTTCCTGCCACCGATCCATTTCTGCCAGAGCCTGGATCCCCACAACACACAAGGAGCATTTCACCTCCACAGAGCTGTCAGCAAAAAGACCAATTTGAGTTTAGAAGTGGTTCCCCTCTATATACATTCCCACCTTCACCCTGACACACTGTTCTCCCCCAGTTCCCAGCTCTGCAGCCATTACCACCTCACAAGTGTCTTATGGGCTGCCCTTTTCCCTCAAGCTAAAAGTTCCTGGGAACTTCTTAGAGGCAAATCAGCTGTTTCCCAATGTGTTGGTTTTTTTTTTAATTTTACCGCTTTTACACTTACTTACATGAGTGTATATTAGTTGGACTATCTCCTCCCGCCCCAAACCTGTTCCACTCTCTTGTTCTCTGATTTTGTTGAAGAAAAAACATGAGAGATAATAAAGAAAAACATGGCATTTTTGCTAGTTTGAGATAAGGATAGCTATATAGGGAGATTCTTTGTGTTATTTCCATGTACATGTGTATTGCAAACCAAACTGGTTCATCTCTACCAGATCTCTTCACTACTTCCTAGTCCCCTTCCCATAGTGGACTCTGCCAGTTTAAAATTACTGTATTCGTTCCTATACAGTGACCACATCAATCCCAAAGTGTATCTTGTGTTCAGGTGAAATCAGGCTTCAATCAATATAAAGGTGATCCTGAGAGGGAAACAACCTGCAGTCCATAGGTGTGGGTGGGCAGGAGAACTGAAGCTAACAGTTTCCTTAGTGAGAAATGAGTTTGGAACAAGATTTCTGACCATGTGGTAAGTGTAGAAACTTCACAGTAGCCTGTTAGAATTATCTAGTAAGGTACCCACAAACAGCCAAAAAAGGCCTTCAACATTCTCTGCAACAACCCCCCCCCCACCTACCCACTAAAAACACTGCCCCGGATCTCAGTTCCTTATCCTCTAGGATCAGCTTTGACTCTTCCACCTCCACTGTGGCCTATCCCAACTTTACAATCCACATGGCAATGGTGCCCTCAGCTGCCAGAGGAGACTTGGTAGCGTTAGAAAGAGCAATGCAGGACCAAGGTTTCCTGTGGATTAATTCTTTAATCTTTCAATAAGACCAGAACACTACTCCTGCATCCCCCATGATCGGCCAAAATCAGGAGTGAACAACATGGGCGGAGGGCTCGCCTAGAAGAAGACTTTTGCCACATGCTTACTAAACCCACTTACTATGAACACTAGTACATCTAGGCTCTCCATCACGCATTCTACACTGCAATGGAGAGCAAAGAATTGGCTGTGGGTTCCGTCAAGCTTGTTTCACGACTTGACCGCTTCTTCCACGTGCGCTGCCTCAGTTTCCTCCTCTGTAGCATTGACACAGGATCCATAACCAGCCACTCATAAAAGCCGGGAGTGAAGACTCTTTGTATGAAATCTGTCAATGACAGAAATCCTGCGACCTAAGTCCCTCCCAGAGCACCCGGCAAGGAACCAAGCCCAGCACTTACGAGCCCGTGGGCCCCTCGGCAGGGGCGTCGCCAGCCAGGATCTGCCAGGCGCGCTCGCAGGTCTCCAGCGCCGCGCGGAAGTCCAGGTGCACCACCAGGAGATCGGCCGCCTCCTCCAGCAGGTGCGCGGCGGGGGACGAGGACGCGGCGGCGCGCGGGGGCTCGCTGCTCCGCAGGGGCCCCCCAAGCCCCTTCACGGGGGCTGCGGAGGTGGAGGCGTCGCTCTTCATGGCCGGCCGGGGCCTGTGTGTCAGACGTCGCCGCAGGTCCTCCTGAGTCCGCGGGGCAGAACGAAAAGGAAGGGGCCGGATCTAAGGCAAAGGCCGGGCTCGCCAACAGTCTGGCACGTGAAGAGCCAGTGTGTAAGTGGATTTGAGTTGCGGCGGCCTTCCCCTACCTGGAACTTGCGTCCCCGCCGCGCGACCTGCGCCGGAAGCGCCTTCGCTCCGGGAGCCCGGTGTGGCCCCTGAGACCCCGCAGCCCTCGGCCAGTCGCCGGCGCATGCGCGCCCGGTGTGGCGCTGGGAGTTGTAGTCCCCGGCTCCAGCTCGCGTCGGGACCTCAACACCCAGCATGCCAAGCCAGAAACTGTCGCCTGCTGGGAGAAAAATGCACCCGCCCACCAGCTGAGTCGGGAAATAGGGGAAATGGGCTGTTCACGAGTCAGATGTCCTCACCAGCCAGGTTGGGCTGACACTGGAACGGAGAAATTCCACCTGCTATTTGCACACTTTTGATTCTGAGACTCTGCAGAGTGGTGGCAATTAGGACATCAGGAGGGAGACGTTGTCCTAGCCGGCCACTTCTCCTGAATATGCTCCACCTTTCTGGGCAGAGGTCAAATGTGGTCGGTGTTTACAGGGCCTGGCATTGTGCGAGGCACTTTCTGTCTTACTTAATTCTTCCCTCATCTCTGAGTTAAGGACACCTGTTACCCATTTTACAGGTGAGGAAAGTCACACTAGTAAGTCATAAAAACGCAGTTTTTAACCACTGTTTTGTTCTGACGGGACAGAACTAGGCCTACTCCTCGCATTTACTACGCAAGTTCCTTGAACTCTCCTTGTCTGTATAAAATAAAGATATTGTGAAAAAACAAAAACCATGCACTGTCCAGTGCGATTTATAATAAGGTACTGAACCACAGTAGGTATTGATAAATTAGCAGCTGTAAAAATTATATATTTTACACAGATACATAAATTACATTTATTGCAATCATTATGTTCTGTGCTTAACGCAGAATCCTCCCACATTTATATAGGCCTTCTTGACTTTAGTTTCTCCCCAGTTATCTACTTTCTGAACTTTCTCCAAAGCTTCCCTAGGATCATTTGCTCCCCTGGTGATTAGATTAAACAGGGCAGGTAGCTGCTTACATCATACATCCCCTTCCCTTATCTCCAAGCATAGACACAACCACCTTTGGGCTTTTGGCTCTCTGCAGAAAATTTTTACAGAAAGCCCATCAGACTCTGAGGAAAAGAAGTGTATGCCCTGTTACCATATAAGGTAAAGCCAGAACTTCACTTATTCCATAAATACTATTTGAATACATACTAGATGGCAGACACTGTCCTCTGTGGGAGCCCACAGAGAACAAAAGAAACAAAGATGTCTGCCTTCTTAAGCTTACATCATAGTGGAAGAAAACAGACAAAAAAAAAAAAAGTAGGTGCCAGGTACAGTGGTATACATCTGTAGTCCCAGCTACTTGGGAGGCTGGTGTGGGAAGATTGCCTGAGCCCAGGAATTAGACACTGGCCTGGGCAACATAGCCAGAACCCATCTCTTAAAAAGTTAAGTCGGGGTGGGGGATGTCAAGTAAAATACATGTAGTAGTGTATCAGATGATGATAAATACTGATGGGTAATAACTGGAATAGAGAGATGGAGATGCAACCATGGAGAGAAGGGACTGGTATCTGCATTTAGCTTTGGGGTTTTTTCATTGTTGCCTTGTTTGCTTATTCGTTTTTGGTGGTACTTGGGGGTTAAACTTAGGGCCTCACACTTGCTAGGCAGGCACTCTATTATTTGAGCCACTGCCAGCCCTTTTTGCATTGGTTATCTTTGAAACAGGGTCTTACTTTATACCCTGGCTAGCCTGAACCACTATCCTCCTATCTGTGCTTCCCCACACAGCCATTGGTTGAGATGAGTATTCTCATAAACTTTTTGCCAGGTCTGGCCTTCAACAATAATCCTCCAATCTCCACCTCTCAAATAGCTAGGATTACAGGTGTGAGCTACTGCACTCAGCCTTAGCTAGGCAAATCCAGGGGTGGACAGAGCAGAGGATAAATGTGGTCTTTTTGCTCAGTTCTAACCCTGTCATTAGAGCCATTTTGGAACACCAACCCTAAGACCAACATATTTCAATGTCATTGTAAGGAGCTCCACCCTAAGCCCTTCTTCCTGGACAGGCAACTTTCATTCCCCACAGCATGTTCCAGAGGCAAGTGGGAGTCAGGCTTAGACTGAGGTTGTCAAAATGTTTCATCAGCCTGCCTCAGACGTTAGATGATGAAGATTGTTAGTACTAACATAATCATTAGGCTGCAAAAAAAAAAAATCTGTTTTTCAGAACTGAGTTTAAAAGTTTGCCCTCAAAAGTCAGGGAACAGAAAAAGCAGCAGAAAATAGACCTGAGTAGGCCTAGGCAAAATGGGATTGGCACTACTACACCCCACCAGGCACACCACCTCTAAGTGACTGCGGCCTAAGAAAAAGTCCCCTTCCATAATCCTTAGCAAATTTCTTGCTATTCCAAATTTATCCAGGAGATGGAAGCACAGCCTTAAAAGAAGCAGCCTTGACAGAAACAAATTTGCCTACCTAGTGAAGAGGCAGCCAGAATGAGGACAAGACATTTGCAGTGGGAGTGGGAAGTGCTAAAAAAATCATATGAAAATAGTGTGTCAAAGTATGTTGTATGCATTGTGAAAATATCACAATGAAATCCATTATTTTGTATAATATATGCTAGTTTAAATGTTTTATTTTTAATTGAGTTATATTTGTATTCTATTCACCCATTGTCATCTGTGGAAATAGGGCTTCTTAGTTGTATGTAACCACCTAACCTTTGACACAGTTATACCCACAAATTGATTCCTCAACACCCAGTATCTGTGACCCACCATCTCCTCTATGTTTGAGTGCAGCCAGAATTTCTCAAGCTAACACAGAAATCTTGAGCAAAAGCCAATTCATTCTACCTGTGTAAGAGTAGACAGGTATTATATGTATAACTAGCCAGCCTTCTTTCTGACTCAGGGCCTGTGAGGCAAGCTTGGAAAGCACCTACTTTCCTCTCAATTTCTCATTCTTGGGATAAACCAAGGAGTGAAAATAAAGTCAGTCTTTCTAATTGATTAGGCCTGGCCCAAGTTAATAGCTCCACTATTGGAACTGTTTCATTGTGAGAAAACCAGCAGAGGAAATGAGACACCAGTATCCCCATTCTGACCCACCTCTAGTCCCTGCCTGAGCTCTGAAACTTGGTGTTCTTCCTGCCATGTGGCAGAGTGATCAGGGTAGCCCCTTAATCTATAGGTGCAGGGTCTGCAGGTGGTGCTTTATAGCAGAAAGAACACTGGAATGGAAGACAGGAGACAACTTTAGAATCCTGTGACAAAGCCACAGGGAAGTTGCTAGCCAACTTCCCTGTGACTGACCTTCTCTGAGGACACTGATGCCAACACTTTCAGGTGGTCAGAAGAGAACCTGTGACAGCCCACGGAACCCCTGAAATCACTCAGGCTGATACAAGGTCTGGTGTATTGAGGGTAAAAAGCAGGAGGAATCTTATTACACCTCCAGCTTCTGGAATCTTACTTTCTGACCAGGAGTCCAACTCTTGACTCTTCTATGCATAGATAGAGATACCCACATCTTGCTCCCTCCAAGCTGGTTCCAAATTTCAGGCCAATAAATATCATCCACAGATGCTCCCTCACATCCATCCCACCTGGCCAGAGCCCCTCAGTACAGTGACACCTATAAAAATAGTCCACAGGTAATAGATCATGCCAAGTGCAAACCTTTGGCCAGATAGAAGCCAAAGAGATACGTGTGGGCGGGGTGGAAAGGATGTTTTTCCAGGATGGTGAAGGGGCCATGCCTCCCTGGCTCCAGATCTTTGTCAGTTATGTTGGCATTTTTATGGTTCTTTTAAAAAGTCAAGACTCAGAATTCAGGGCAGAACACAATGCTCTTGTTTTCTTCTCCGCATATAGATGCAGCAGAACTCTGCTTCTGTATCTAAGAAGTGATCACCACAGTCATGATCATCCTGCAGAGTACTTTATGGTAATAAATGTAGATCTATTTAATTTTATGGCATGGTATTGACTACATGCTTTTTTGTGTGCTGAACACTTAACTCATTTTAATCCTCAACAATCCTATGAAAAAGGTCCTAATGTCATGCTTACTTTGTATAACTTTATCTACTTTGTAGATAAAGAAACTGAGGTACAGAGATGCTGTTAAGTTGCTTGTCCAAGGTCACATGTGTTCATACCAGGAAAGGACTTAAACTCGGGCATTTTGGCCTCAGAGCCTTTCTTCTTAACTAGGACATAACTCAGGCTCTACAATATACTTTCAATATTATTGTTATTATTATTATCATCCCTATTTATTAATGGGAAACTAAAGCTGAGAAACTGCCCAAGCTCAAAACATGTAGTTTCAGTGGCAATGCTCAGACATAACTCCAGCAGATGCCATGGCTATTCATCTCCAGCACCAAAAAACAAAAACAAACAAACAAAAAACAAAGGACCATTAGTAAGTCCTCTTCATCTACCTTGAAAATGACTGAGAAGGTTCCTCCTTAGTTGGAAGAGTCTCCCTCTGGGAAGGGTTTTCTTTTAGGGAGCCCTTTTCTCACTGACCCAGGATCCACTCAGAGAAGACTAAACAAACCTTAAGACACACCCAAAGACTGCTGTTTGGAATAATTAATAGATGCAATTCAACCCTGACTGAAGGTGTAAACATCTCTCTCCTCCCCAGCCTTTCCTGATCTCACCTAATTCAAGCTGATCACTCCTTCCTACAAATACCCACCTATGCTTCACTTTTTTGTGTCTCTCCTAGGGGTCCTTACAATTCCCTTGTTTCCTTTAAGTTAATTTTTGTCATTCCACTATTTGTCTGTGCCCTTCCTAAAGACAAGGATGAGGTCTCACTCATTTCTGCACCCTGTGCTGTTGGGCATGGTGAAAACAATAAGCATAAGGAGCCTCTCCTGAGCTATTCTGAAATATTCAGTCTAGACATTCAGGCACCCTCACTCTTGCTGGAAAGCACTGAGTGAAATGGATGGAAGCTGAGAAGGCATGTGCCCCAGCCTAGCCCCTGGGAAGAGATACCTAGAGATGTTTCCAGATGTTGCTACTCTACCTGCCTTCTTGCCTATGAATAATTTGCAATATTCTTTCTGGAGTATTCATCCCTGTTTTCCAGGAAATAATCTAATAAACTCAGTCACTCTGAGTCAGA